AATCCACGAATTACGGTTTGAACTGCTTGACCATCCACCTTACTCACCAGATCTAGCCCCAAGCGACTTCTTTTTGTTCCCTCATCTAAAAATTGCGCTCGGAGGACAGAGATTTTCGTCAAATGAAGAGGCAATCACCTTCGTGAACAATTATTTTGCAGAGAAAAACGCCGAGTACTATTTCGACGGGTTACAGAGATGGGAGCATCGCTGGGAGAAGTGTGTAGATTTACAAGGAGACTATGTTGAAAAATAAAAAACAATTTTCAGAAAAAATGACTTGTATCTTTGTTAGGTCGGAAACTTTTCAGACCACCCTCGTATGTACACAGAAATGCACCAAGTGTAACATTGTACACGATTCAATTGGAAAAAGTGTGTACTAATGTGTACGTATGTCGGATAGGGTTAGGATTATTTTTCAACTGTGCTTATATTTTGGTATTTTTTAATAATAAATAATAAAACTTAAATAATAAAAAAGATTATCCATTTCACGTCGCAAATGCCAGTCTCTTTTCAAGCTACTACGCTTATTAATTTTAATTTTCACTAGAAAACACTAATTTACACAGCCGACTAGTAGAGCTGAGTACGGATGTATAGTGTTGTGTCGACGATTGGAATGCAACTTGTGTCACCGTGTGTATGAAAGTCTCTAAGGATATTGCAATTGGAAAGCACCCTATGGATGTTTCCAGTTGCGTACACTGTGTTACACAAACCAGTTTATTGGTCACATATTATCTAAAACATCTTATAAGATAATATGCAACCAATAAACTGGTTTTGTGTAACACAGTGTACGCAACTGGAAAGCACCCATCCTATCTTTGTTACTCACTAAATGTGGAACAAAGATAGAATAATGTTTGTGTTGACTTGTGTCTTTTGTTGGAAAGCAACCTATATACTACTTATAGATGTCTATACTAAACTAGATTGCTAGAATATGCTATAATAGCATATTCGACTGGCTCTGGGTTAACTCACTCTGGGTTATTCAGCCTACGTTTATTGGTCGAACAAGTACTTATAAGCTTTATGATTGGCTAGTAGAGGCTTATGACGTCATTAATCGCTCTCGGAGCGATTAACCCAGGGACAGTCGAACACGCTATTAGGGCCCTTATTCTTGAAATAGTTGCGTATTCATAAGTTTTACTGCGCAGGTTTAATCATACCATAAAATAGCTGCGCAATGAAAATTACGTATACGCAAAAATTTCAAGAATAGGAGCCTAGGTTGCATTCCAAAACGCTCTTTTTGAGGAAAATTTTACTCAATACCTATAGTTCACGTTACATACTATAGAGTATTGAGTAAAATTTTCCTCAAAAGGATGTTTTGGAACGCAATCGATTATGCATATTCGAATATTTATCTAACCGATTATTAAATAATCGATTATTTGAACATTCGATTATTTAACAATTGATTTTTCCCGACATCGCCTATCACTAGTTCCATATTCACGAAAAATGGACATAGAGGCGCTGCAAATCAGCCAACTTTCCCATGGATCTGTTTTCTATTGATGAACTAGTGTACACTTTCGGAACTTTAAAAGAGATAGATATACAGATAAAACTTAGTGGAAAAAAGATGAGAAAGAACTAGTGCAGCCAGTTCAGCAATAGAAAACAGACCCTATAAATGCAGGCATGGCCACTCTCATTCTTCTTTCTGCTAGTAGTCATTGTTGACACCCGAGTATCTAAGTGGTACGACCAAACAAGTTTTGTTTATAAAGTACGAAAAATAGCAAATAAACTAACAGATTAAAAGGTAAGCAAGATATAATGTAATAAATTATGGTAAATATGCAGTATAACGCCTTTATCATGGATTTTTTTCAAACTTTGTAAATTTGTATATTTTTATGCGTAAATTGATTTCTGAAAACGAAAATTGTCGCTCACTTTTCGTTTTGTTTTTTTAATTTTATGTTTTATGATGTCGGTAAGTAGAAAAGGCAAAAAACAGTTTATGCTTTTGATTAAAGCAAAAAAAAAAACATGTATGAACTATTCTCTGCTTTATAACAGAGTTTATGCTTTGGTTAAAGCAGAAAAAAGCATGTATGAACATAAAATTAAAAAACAAGAAAACGAAAAGTGAGCGACAATTTTCGTTTTCAGAAATCAATTCTACGCATAAAAATATACAAATTTACAAAGTTTTAAAAAAATCCATGATAGGAGCGTTATACTGCATATTTACCCAAATTATATATAAAATAGGTAGGTAAGATATGATATAATAACAAATTATATATACAATAGGTAAGCAAAATACTAACAGTATGTTAATACTACACAAAACAACGTTTAAAATTAGGACATAAAACATTTAAAAGATGTTTTAAAAACATCTCAAACGTAAGAATATAAGACATCTCTAAGATATCTTATATCCAAATTTTAGATGTATTGTGAATATTTGCAGTATATTGAGAACTTAGCAACAAATCTATTTAGAATATTGTAAACCAAGCAAGTTTACTGTATCTGTTTAAATGCATTTAAATTATTATAATTTTCCTTATTTACCAATGCCATATGTTTATTTTTATGTACACATTAATAATATTTATATTGTTTTGTATGTTTATTTCATATAGTGTAAAAATAACAATGGAAGAGAAAACATATAACAATGAAATAACAATGGAAGAGGAAGTATATAATAATATAATAATGGAGGATGAAGCAATTAAAGAAGTAATGGAAGAGGAAATAGAAGATATTAAAAATATACACGAAGAGAAAATGAACATTCGCAAGTTGTTTCATAAGACTCCTATTAAGAGATATGATTATAGATTGGAATATGACTATGAATCACCTCAGGATGAAAGACGTCGAGTCTTATTGAAACATCAGAAGAAGTAAGTATAATACATATTTATACATAGGACATGTGAAAAATTAAGTAATAACTATACTTTTTAATCAAAAAGGAGATTTAATATAAATGTATATATTGTTGTATATATGAGATTTGTGCAAGAATTATTTTAATTTTTTAGCGTAAAATTATGTAATTTTATATCATAAATATCTCTGCAGTAATATTGGTATATTAAAATTATTTTGTGTGCATCATAAATAATATGATAATTGTTAAGGAGACAGGTTTTCTCATTGATTTACATAAAACTTCAAAATATTGTGTATTTTATTGCACAAAACACGAATATAAAAGTTAAAATCGTCACTCTTAAGTAAAACAGAAGTTATAAAATGCTAAAATGTAATAGTTGTAAAGTTAAGAAATCTATCATATTCATAGTGTAGAGAGATAAATGTGAGAGTACAAATAATTGCATTAATTCAGAAGTTTTTTCAAAGCAAATAGACCTATAGTTTAAAAATATTTAGAAATATAAGCTCTAACTTTATAATAAAACAATTAAATAGTATATTTTTGGGCAGGATAGGGGACTTTACTTGAAACTTTGTTTTTATTATAATTTCGCTTTTTAACTGCTTTGCCTCCTGGATCCTCGTTACTTGACGTTTCAAATTTACACTTTTTACATGCATATGTAGCTACAGAGCATGTTAATGATACTACATTTCGTCACTATGACATTAATATATCACTTTGCGGAACAGAGTAACAAGTTACAAACTGTTAAAATGTATATGCATAAACGTATTTTATTAACTAACATTAATGTTACAATGTTTTGGGATAGGGTTAGGTTCGTTTTTTTAACGGGATAGGAAGCGAAATTCCTCACAACACCTCCCGTCCAAAAAATGTACTATCAAATTTTTTTTTTATTACAGAACTAGAATTCATATTTTTAAATATCTTTAACTCTTAAGTACTGATATAGATTTACAATATTTCGAAGTTTGATAATTACCTGAGAAAGTATGCAAAACATCTTTCTTTGTCGCCACTATCTTATGGGCCAAAGAAAAGATAGACGGACGCGATATATATACGCTCAAACGGGAGTGAAACAGCAATAGGTTTTTTATTTCATTGGGAGTCTATCAGACTCCTGTCAGTGCTTAAGGGTTAAGCTATATTTCAAATTTTGCGCGCTTACGTCACTGCGCATGCTTATATGCTCGCGCGCTGTCACTTTTTAACACTTTACAACTTTTGTTTTATTTAAGAGTGACGATTTTAACTTTTATATTTGTATTTTACACAATGAAATATACAATATTCCGAAGTTTCAGGCAAATCGATGAGAAAGCCCATCTCCTTGACAATTACCATTATAAATAAATAAAGCTAATAAAGTTATTAAATGTGTGTTTAATAGAACTATTAAACTTAATATTAAGATAAAATTAAGATAAATTAAGGAACAATTAAGATAACTCATCAGAATATTTCATAAGAATGTAATGTGATGTATCTCTCTATAATTTAATAAATAGGTCCAGAGAAGATACAGTCAACACTGCACGTGGTATATTACAAATATTTTCTAAGATTACACAAAGGAGAAATTTGCGAGTGATGCTGTCAGAATGGATGTTAGATATACCAGAGAAGTTCACAGAGGAATGGTTTATGATTCCATGTCCAGTAGGAAGACGAATATTATTAGTAGCAAGCGAAGTATGAACTTGTACTTTCTCGCGCGCTCTAATATTCAATATTACGATTCTGTCATACCTCTGGCACTCACTCATTTCACACACGCATTCTGATAAAATGTTAAACATTGAGGAAATATTTAATTAGGGAACATACACACAGGAATTTTCAGAAACAGACAGTAATCATGAGCAAAGTTGAATTGAATTTATGTATTATATATGTAATTAAGTAATTTAATTTGTTGTTACATTCTTAAATCTGTGTGCTTTGGCTCGTATTGCCCTTCTTACGTTCATTCTATCTTACAGAATTGAATTTCATGCCCGATCGCGATATTCACACAGTTCGTCGATCTTTGTGTAACTTTCTCTATTGTGTAACATCTTCTAAATGTATACATTTATTTCGATAAATCGATATTTGGGTGCGTGCGCGACATTTAACAAATTTATACACGATTTAATAAAGTGGTGTTAATTCAAATCAGGGCATAACTAAAGCATACAATAAGACAGGACAACGTGTTAGTATCTTTCGCTCAGCACTTCCGGGTGGAAATCATAAATATCGCAAGTCACAGTACACCATTATAGATTGCATTTGGATGGATAGTCAGAAAACGTATTACGTATTGGACGTATTGACATGGGCCAGCCTTCCAACTATGCTTTGTGAGGTAATGTATAATTGCTCTCACATTCGAGAAATTGTATTAATTATTATGCCAAATTCAGTGAATCTTTTTATCTTGTTTCAGGCCGAATGTAGACGATTTTTAGTGAATTCTCATCTGCACGATATAGAAGAGTTGAAAGAAGCTGACCACAAAATAAACAAATACTCCATTTTACCTTTACCACACGTTTACTGTAATACAGATCTAAGTAAGGCTTTAACACAATGTGACCAATACCCTCTGGATGGATTATTGTTTTATCATCGTAACGGATATTACAAGTTTGGTCGTTCACCGCTAGTCGTGTGGTTGAAGCCATTTATGTTACCTGAGGTACTTGGTATATTTGTGCCTTCACCACACGATGAGAAACCAGATGGCTATATAGATTACAAACATTACATTTGCCAACATACACAGACCGAGCATAGGAAAAAGTTCTTTCAAGATTATGTAAGTTTTTAGAACATTATCGAGCAAATATTAACTATGGTCCTTCAACTGATGTATCTTCTTCATTTCACAGTTTCAAATAGCTATGGAATGCACTTAAAAACGCCTGAACAAGTAAGATGTCTATTAGAAATTTATGCTATCTAAGAAGACATTTGTATTGTCATGTTCATTGTATACAACATTTTGTTATTGGTTCAGCACATTAACAATATGCTGAACTTATATATTAGTCAAATTGTATAAATTAGACCAAGAGTTTTTTTTATGTAGGCTTTATTTTCATAGATTGTTTAATAGGCATAACTAGCCTATTATAATACTACTATAATATTATACTGAATTATTTCCATTTGAGTGATGTGTATGAACAATAGTGTATTACATGATACACTTTCTAACATGTATCACATCAGTTTGGTGTGCTGTCGTATGTTGAAAAGGATCGTTTACAATGTAGTCGTAGTTATATAGTTATGGTCGATTTTTTCAATCTCTTATAGTAAACTAATTAGAAATTAAATTATATCTGTCTTTTTTGCGAATTAGATAGACATGATTTAACTGTTGGTTAGTTTACCAAGAGATTGAAAAAATCGGCCCTTAAAGTCGTAGCACTAATCTACATCAATCATATATTTCTTTTACGTAAACTCGTAAAAAATAAAAAGTTCCATCGACGTATACAACAAAACTTTTGATGTTTTACGAATTTACGTGAAAAATATAAATACGTGATCTCGATTCACGGACTACGACTTAAAGACGTAACTGCGACTGCATTGTAGACGATCCTTTAGAAGCAACTACGAAACGATCAATGTGAAGTGCATAGATCCAAATGTACAATTATTTCTATAGCCAGTGGATACAGAAGACGTGGCTACATCTTAACCTCGATAAATTTTGCAATGCATCCCGTATTTACGATAGAAAAAATATAAGTTCTAAAGAAAGCTCATTTCGCGATTGTATACAGAAAATACAATCATAAAAAAGATAGTATTAAATATAAAAATTGCGTTTGATCATTTGCTAACTGTACATTCTTTATCTTCATATAAAACAAATTTATATATTTCAGACCTATGAAAAATCTACGGATTATTTCGAAATAAGATTTTGACATGTATATAAGTACGCGAAAATGTAAATTATGACGACTATGTAAATCTATGTATATGTACATCCTAAGAAAAAGATTTTTATAGAAAGAAGGTATTGAGAAAAAAAAAGCTCAATAAATCTTTTGAAAAAAGTATATTTATCACAATTGTTTTCCCCCCCGTTTCTCGTCATTGCGCGTAGGCTTCGAACAAAGAGAAACCAGAGGGGTCACGCCCGTGCGAGTCTTCTCCCTACCTTAAGCGCCTCGCGCATTCCGATCGATGCTGACATGAACGACGTCACAGTCGTGTTTACATACGTTGCGCTACCTCGTCTCCCGCGCAAAAAACACAACGGCGATTGAGGTTAAGAGACGCGATCTGCTTGGTCGGGAACACTAGGAACGTTCTCGTGGTGTCACGGATGCCCGTGAGACCGCGGTCATGGCCGCAATAGAAGTTGCATTCCCGTTAGACGGGCAACCCGGCAAAATAGTGAAATGGAGAGTACGTCCGGACACGATGGTCGCGGCGGGTAGAGTATTGTTGTTATACCGCAATGCGACGCCGGACGACGAGGATGCCGCGGAGCCTGAGAAGAAGCTGCGAGCCACGAGATTCGGTCGTGTCAAGAAACTCCTCGTCAAGGAGAACGAGGTCGTCCAACCTGGGTATGCGTCATTCTCATATAGCATCGCATCCCTTCGCGCTCGTCGGAGGTTATATAAACACATATACACATCGCATATTGCCGTCCTACTTCCCGACACTGTGCATTAACTGTGATAATAAATCAGTGAATCGACGATATTCGATAGTTCTTGGTAATAGATGCAAGCGTTGAATATGTTACCCGGATTAACTTATTATTCGTTTAGTGATTAGCACGAGTTGGGGAAGATGTCCGGTAGCCGGCACTCATTGCAACACTCACCAATTTTCGGCGCTCTTCTCGAATTTTATCAAATTATGGTGTATGGGGATTTATTAATTATTTATTACTTATTTAGAAATTATTATTTATTTATTTGTTTCCTTTTAAATCACTTTAATATTCGATAATCTCCGCGCAAGAGTGCTGAAAATGGGTAGAATGTCGATTAGGGGAAAACGTTCACTAGCCGACACTCCACTTGTTTTCGGCATTCACGCGCGGGTATCAAATAAGGCGTATGAGGAGAATTAAGAAGAAAACGAATAAATAAATAAATAATAAATAACAATTGATAAATAATTAATAAAAAATGCTGAAAATTGATGAATGCTGTAACGAGTGCAGGCCACTGGACGTTTTCCCGCGTACGCAAAATGCGCCCTCGTACAAGAGGAATTTCTTCAATATGTCAAAGAAGTAATCTAATGCCACAAAAATTACCGCTCATTTTGCCGGAAAGAGAACGCAATCAGGAATTATATTATACTGACAAAGAAGCAAATATTTCGATTGAAATTATAACCTAATAAAGTTTCTTCAAAGAAACATCTTAAGTATGTAATGCTGCTACAATAGCATCACAGAGTATATATTAAATATTTGTACGCTGTGTTCAGCGTTTCTGTCTATCTGACTAATTTCGGGATTCTACTAGTTTTGTCATCGATTACACGTTCAAAGTGTACATTTCGCACACGACGTTGCAAATGTACACTTTTGAATCCGATTTCGGTGATATTTTAATATGCCACTGTCTATTCAGGCAGGTAATTATCTTACTGGAAGGATGCACACATCCTACTGTAATGATAGACCTATGTGCGGAGTGTGGAGCAGACCTACGCGTGGAACAGGCTGGCAAGGACGGCAAGATAGCTGAGGTGTCGCAGGCCAGTGTGCCTATGGTGCACAGCATACCAGAGTTGAAAGTGTGTCCGGAATTAGCTGAGAAGATCGGGAAGGAGGACGAGCAACGTCTGCTGAAGGATCGGAAATTAGTGCTGCTTGTGGATCTCGACCAAACGATAGTTCACACTACTAACGATCATATCCCGCCTAATTTAAAGGTAAAGGCAGGTGTACGTTGTCGCGTTGTCGATACGAATGTCTCGACGATGAAGAATATACGGCCGATACGGAGAACTCTCGCTGGAAACTCATGTTTTTATTCCCTACTTTCGCAGGACGTTCACCACTTTCAACTGTATGGGCCGAATTCGCCGTGGTATCACACCAGATTAAGACCGAACACCCGGCATTTCCTCTCGGAAATGAGCCACTTGTACGAATTGCATATCTGCAGTTTTGGAGCGAGAATCTATGCGCACACTATCGCATCGTTGCTGGACAAGGATGGGATCTTATTCTCACACAGGATACTTTCCAGGGATGAATGCTTTGATCCAGCATCAAAGACTGCGAATCTGAAGTAAGCTAGAAATTGTTATCTCGGGTATCATCGGGATGAATATAGTTATTGCATATAGAAGCTGATCCTCCACAGATTGAAGTACACGTCATTGTACAGCTTTACTATTTTGCTTTGTAGCCATCGCTCATAGAAGACTAAGAGTTTTCTGAAAATAAATGTACTATTAAGACTCCTAGCTACTCGCCGCGTTATTTTCGGTTAATTACGTCAGAAGCGAGGAAACGCATACTCAAAATTTCTTCAGAACAGTCCAAATAAAAAGATATTCAAAAAGTGACATTTGCAATCGATTAGACATCTCTAAAATACTAATACTTTCCTTTTGCTCTAATAATCAATAGATAACTAATATCAACGTGACATGCAACTTTCCTTTTTAACCTCATTATTTTGTTAATTTTACAGTAATTTATTGATTGTTAAAATAAGAGATAAGTATTCGGAGTAATTTAGAGATGTGCATAATCGATTGCCATTTTTTGGAATATATCTTTCTACTTCTATTTCACTTTGTAGGAATTTTGGGCATGTATTTCCTCACTTCTGACGTAATCAGTCGAAGTGATAATGGCGAGCAGCTGAAAGCCTTAATTTATGCATTATTCGTTGCAGAGCATTATTCCCATGCGGCGATGACTTAGTATGTATCATAGACGACAGAGAAGACGTGTGGCAAGGTTGCGGAAACTTGGTTCAAGTCAAACCCTATCATTTTTTCCGTCACACCGGTGATATCAATGCACCACCAGGATTGGACAAATGCGACACATGGCGTACACATGAACCGGAAAATACAAATACAAACGAAACATGTGGAAACTCACAGAGCGAAGACAGCAAGAACGATGCGCTCGAGTCATCGGGCAAGCCGTTATCATCAGATAACGATACTTCGACGAAAGAAGCTAATCCTGAAATAGATGAAACCTGTGATAAGCTGGAAGAAACGAACAACGGAGATACCGAAGTCGATACCGAGGAAGAAGCGGATTCTAAAGCGCAGTCTATTATTACAAACGAAACAGAAACACAGCCCGCTTCTGTGAGCAATGTAAATGAGTCGCAATCTACTACAGAAAATAAAATGCAGTCTGATACTGTAAATAAAGATGATACAACGGATAAAGATGATACAACGGATAAAGATGATACAACGGATAAAGATGATACAATGGATAAAGATGATATAACGAATAAAGATGATACCACAGATAAAGATGATATAACGGATAAAGATGATACAACGGATATAGATAATACAACAGATAAATATGATGATACAACGGATAATAAAGATGATACAACGGATAAATATGATACAACGAATAAAAATGATACAAAGGCAGTAGCAAAAGAAATTCCACCATTTGAAAAAACAAAGGAAAACAGTAAACAAGAGACGTCGAAGAATGACAGTAATGTGATAGATGAGGATGACGATGATTACTTGTTATACTTGGAGGATATCCTTCGTAGAATTCATACGGAATTTTACTGCACCCTAGACAAGGGTAACGGCCGAAGATCCTTGCGAGATATAATTCCACGAGTACGTTCCCAAGTGCTGAAAGGATTATGCTTGACTTTCAGTGGCTTAATACCCACCCATCAGAAGCTGCATCAAAGCCGTGCGTACAAAGTCGCGAGAGCATTCGGAGCAGAAGTAACTCAAGTAAGAAAAGCTTACGGTGTTACTATCTTCGTCGTACTTCTCTAGGTAACGTTGCGTTGTAATTTTACAGGATTTGACAGAAAAGACTACGCATTTGGTTGCGATTAGAAAAGGCACAGCGAAAGCGAACGCGGCCAAGAAGGACATGAACATAAAGATCGTAAATCCGGAATGGTTGTGGACGTGTGCAGAACGATGGGAGCATGTCGACGAGCGTCTGTTCCCCGTCACGTCGCAGGTACAAATACCATAATTTTATAATAATTAGCTAAGCTGCATACAGTTTCACGGTAATGTCGCTGTTTGCGACATATATCATCTTGGCATTAATAATAAATAGAAGTATCGTAGGCTCGTGGATCGAGAGTACCGCCGCCACACTGCAGCAGCCCGGAAAGCGTCGAGGAGTTAGAGAGCAACAACAGTGCGGCGAACTCTTTTGCCAACACGATCAACCCATTGATGTCTTTCACTCGAGAGGAGATTGAATTTATGGATAAGGAAGTAGAAGAAGACATGTTAGAACAAGATACAATATTCGACATGGAGGACATGGATGATGATGCGGAATTGTGCGGCACGAGAATACGTCGTCGCAGTTTTGACTCCGAGGATTCCATGAACGGTAAATATACTATTAGATTATAAAATGGTTTAGACATAACGAAACGTTGGGAGCTCACTAAAAATTGGGAGTCATTACTAACACACGGGCTTATCCAGTAATTATATTATTAATTATTCTTACAAGTAAATCTAAAGTAAACCAAAAGTTATACTCCAATTGCTTTCTAATTTGGCACAAATGTAGAAGTACAAAAAATAGCCTACTTTGAATTTCGCGGGCAGTTTATAACTTTTTAACATTCTCCTATCATCAAGTGCAACAAAAATGCATAAGAAATAAAATTGAATATAAGATATAGGCGTTTTTGGTGATTATGAATATGAAATCAAATGTGCAAAATTATTTATATAAATATTAAAATATTTAAATAAAACATGTAGAAAGTTGAAAAAAATTATTTATATAAATAATTTTCCAGTTTGGCCGAGATTTGAATCATTTTTAACTAATTTAGGACAGATTTGAAATATTTCGGTTGGAATCTCAGCTAAAAAAATTTAGAATGATTCATGTCTCAGCTATACCAATTTTGTTAAAATTATTTAACTATATCTTGTATTCAGTTTTATTTCTTATGCATTTTTGTCATATTTGATGATAGGAATGAGAACATTAAAAAGCTATAAACTCCTGTGAGCCTGTGAAACTCAAAATGAAAAAATATAGCCTAAATATTTTTTGTACTTCTACATTTGTGTCAAATTAGAAAGAAATCGAAGTGCACCTTTTAGATAGGTTTACTTGTTAGTATTATTACATTATTAATTACATTATTACTGCGTAAATAGTCCGTAATGACTCTCAATTTCAACAGTTTAGTGAGCTTCTAACTTTATTGTATCTAAACTGTTTTGTATCACCTACGATGATACACGATTAAAAGAGAGAGAGAAATAATAAAATTTTATAATTGCAAGATTGAGCGACTTTAATCTGTACTTTATTGATACAGATGAATGGGTGTTAATGAAAAAGAGGCAAAAAATTGAGAACGGAAATTCTGACGAGAGTTCCTCTGAGGATAGAGAAGACAACCGTAACAGTCATGATGATGATGATGACGACGAGGACAACGACGACGACGACGACGATGACGACGACGATGATGATCCTATTACACGTTTCAGAAGGGGAGAAGATTTACCCGACGATTTAGAATTAGGTGATAATTCACAAGATTCAATAGATGATTTCGAGGGTGGAGATAATGAAGATGATCGGGAATGGAACGCACTGGGTGCTGCGCTTGAAAGGGAATTTCTCGCGGAATGATATGCTTAAGAGAGGCGAAAAGGATATATTGACGCGTGCATACTTCGGATTATTGGACTGACTGAGGATGTTTTGCATCACTAATAAATTTCAAGTTCGATAATTGAATGGGAGGATATTATTATTGATGATGTTAAATTATTTATGTACTCTGATGTAGTCAGAGCAAGATGTTATATAAAGACACTGAATGTTTGCTATAATCTACTAAAAGTAGATTGAAATGGCTGATTTGCCCAATGGAAATATGTAAAATTCAAAAAGATTCTTTCTAAATTAAACTATTGCTCTGTATTAAACTCGCGAATTTTGTACTAGTAAGTAGAATTGCTCTTTCAATTACTTTCTGAAAGAGTGATTTGTGGATAGCAATACAAATAAGTCCTGAACATTACACTCTCTCATGCAAAAGAGACACGTTGAGCACCAGTTTTATCGTAATATTAAAAAATGAAACTTATTTTCTCTAATGTTTGTAGAACCGTCACCTGTAATGTTGATAATCAAGCCATTTTTGTATGGAAAGATATAAACTTTATTATAAACTCTCTTTAATTGACAAAAGTATCTCTAAATGTGACTGAGAACCAATGAAAAGAAGCTTACAAGTCATATTTTAAAATACTTATCGATAAAAGAGAGTTCAGAATAAAGGCATATGTATATGTATGTATGTATAAGATGTATTATGAAATTGGAAAATAAAAGTATAAAAAAGAAATATACTATAAAAGAAAGATACATAGATTCTATAGAAAAAGATGAGAAATGTTCAAGATTTATTGCCAATTTTCTCAAATACGATACAAAAGTATTCTATACTGTGTCTGGCTGTGGATCCTTTGGATCATCATAGTACTTCAGATACACCTTCTTATGAGTAAAGTCATGTGTATCTTCCAGTCTTCCTCTTTTTGGTGCTTTTTCATAATCATAAGCTGTTTCCTTTTTGCCAAATAATTCTGCAATCTCACTCACATCATCCCTAGTGTCACAAAAAATACAAAATACAGATTTATATATATCCAGTTTCACATTGGTCCATAGTTACACTCATGGATTTATGGAACTTTTCACAAAATCTTTGATAAATTACATACCTATACTTAAATGAGACAACTTGCTTTCCGGTAACTGGATCTGTGACATCACCCAGAGGATGTATCACCTCGACAACCTATGTAACAAGATTTTATTAAGGATCACGAAAGTGTGACTCATACAGAATTTAAGTCTCGTCAGCAACGCAGTCGTAATGGTCGAATGTGTGTAATATAATGCGTACCTCATGAGTAATCAGGCGTGTTAATTTTGTCGGTAGTGTCTTTAACAAGATCACATCACCTGTTTTGCATAGTTTCTGCGGATCGTTGGCATAAACGAAATCGTGTTCTTTGAAGTACTGTAAACAAAGCCGAACCCATAACCTCAGTAGCAAGCTACGTAAACAATTATGTAATTGTGTATCTCTCACACATACTGACCATGTTAATGTAGTCGTCGAACTTAAATCGCGGTATGCGCACTTTGGCAGCATTTCGTTTTGATGAAGGCACGCACGTCCCGAGTAAATATCGCAGAGCGACTTTGCCTACCTCTTTCTTGGCCATTTTCATTCGTACACAATCATCAGCTCAGTCATCTGGTTGCCTGACGCGTAGGGGCGGTATACAATCTACTCGTCTCGGGCAGCGTCGGAAACGTCACTCGAGTACTCTTCCTCTCTTTTTACCTCACTCTTGTATCTCGCTCACTCCAACGTAACGGGTACACTTGGGTGACGTTTCCGAACGCAGTCCAAGGGTCTGTTTTCTGTTCCTGCACTGCTGAATTGATGCAATAAGCTAGAGTAAGACAAGTATATTTTTTCTCCCTCTAATTTATTGCACCAGTTCAACAGTGCAAGAACAAAAACAAACTTTTGGTTTTACACTTTATTGCACTTCTTTTATGTGGAAATGTAGAAAGTGTAGAAAATGGCGCTACTTGAAGTTAAATGAAATAGACTCATTCAGAGGAGGAGATATAGATCAATGCTGGGTGGCGCTTCTCAACATCATGCGAATGAGATGCGCATACGAAAATCCTATAGTTCACGTTACGTATATACTATAAATTTTCGCATGCGTATCTCATTCGCATACCGTCAAGAATCGGGCCCCTGGGATTCTGTAAAAGTGCCATTACATGTAGTCTGTTGTTTTCAGCTGTACTGCTGAACTAGTGCAATAAGTTTAAGTGAGACAAGTATATCTTTTCTCACTCTAACTTATTGCGCCAGTGCAGCAACGCAGCTGAAAAGAACAGACCACAACTTTTAGGCTGATATTTCACATGTCGTACGACAAGCTTTTTGAATACGTTCATTGAAAATGAACAGAGAACAGAGAACTTCTGACGAACCTCTGACGAACAGAGAACTTAGAAATACTCTATTCGCCAACTAATAAACGTATCCGAAAAGCTTGTACGACATGTAAAATAGCACCCTTATTCTGATGGTCAAATAATCTCGGTCTGCTCGTATAGCTCGTTAGAAATCTGTGCTGGGATTCTGTAACTCATTATTGGAGTTAACGACAGTTTCGTTACCAGTTTTATATACCGTAGAAAAGCTGCGCAACGATAACGAAACTGTCGTTAATTCCAATGAGTTAATTCCCCTATTCTTGAAATAGTTGCGTATACGTAAGTTTTACTGCGCAGTTTGATCATACCATACAATAGCTGCGCAATCCCTTATAGAAATATCATACTAAGAATCATTAATAATTACTTATTATCCAGTATTTTTAATACTGAAAATAAGTAATTATCAATGATTCTTAGTATGATATTTCTATAAGGGATGAAAATTACGTATACGCAAAAATATTCAAGAATATGGGCCCTGTTCTTTTCAGTTAATTATTTCTGCAAATAATCGCTCGGGAATCCAAAAACCACATATAATAATATCATCATAATAATATCATATAACAACATATTCTTATATTCATATTTTTACATTCATCTTTCTTCCTCTCTTCAGAACATACGTATATAGCTGCATTTTGCACTAACTATTGGAAATGCGAAGGAATGTGGCATAAAAGGAATGCAATTTTTAATATACTAATGAGTGCATCGTTAATTTTATTATTTCAAATATTGGAAATATTAAAATTATTGGCTGCGTTTAGCAGAGGAAGCTACTTTGCAACTGTTGTAAAATTCGTGAATCTGATTGGTACATACTCTTGGATTTAACCAAAATTAAGAGCATACTCCAATCAGATTCACGAATTTTACAACAGTTGCAAAGCAGCTTTCTCTGCTGAATGCAATTTTGCAAACCATTGTCTTGAGCATTTTGCGTATTTCATATCACGCGGGGAATATAATTAATGTTCTAGTTCTTCTTCTTGTTATTGGCTGACGACACTAGTTTCAGAGGCCAGCCATTGGTAGATCCTTGTAATTGGTCGGCTACGGTATTATAGTAACCGTATTATAGTTTGTAGCTTCGATGGCTGCGCGGCAGTTCGGATTCGTAAAGCTGCTCCGTGTCTGCCGCTATTTTGACTCGCAAGAGACGAGCCTCGCGCGTGAAATATTGTTGTCGGGAGTGTCGAAAGCAAGTTACGTGCGTTTATCGTAGCAAAACATCCCAAGAGTCGTCGATATCTCGCTCAAGACGGACAGTCGTGAAGTGCCGAATAACGTCTCGCGTTCGTAGCGACTTGAACTTCGAATTTGCAGGTCACTATGCTTTGTATTTTCAATCCGTCGAGAGCAGGACTCATGCGCAAATTATCGTCGGGAATGCCGAACGTGAGTCTCACGCATTTATCACGGCATGATATTATAACTGAGTCGTTGAGAGTAACGGTTTATCGGTGGTGCAGAGTGAAATTGCACGCGCATCCATACTTTCAAAATCGCAACCGTCGCGATATTCGCGTTCAATATTGTAACGGATCGCGCCGCAGCAGTAAGGATTTGAAAAATCGTCTCGTACGTTTCGCGATTCCAGTTTGAATCGGAGATGAATTTCGCACGCGACATATTGCCGGAAGTGTCGAAAGCAAGTTTCGCGCGTTTACTGTGACATTCAAACAAAAGTGAATATCCTGCGAAATGGATCGTCAACCGTGCCGAGTGAGGTATTCCGCTACGACAATTTGGAGTTTAAATCGCTGCGTTCCCGATTTTCGATTTGCCAAAAGAGAGAAGTCTGTAAGTCCAACAGAACAAAAATATATTAATATATTACAAACAGATATCGCGAGCTTTTGTCGCGTCGAATCGTATATCTTATTAGCGAATTTTAATCGGATGTAAATCGATGGATTTCCTCAAAATATTAAAAATTTGTGGTCCGAAAGCATGTCCTTATAAAAACAGGATATAATATGTAGAAAGCATCGTTGTACTTCCGAATTTTGTATAAACAATACGGACAAATCTTGTATAGGATGCAAAACATTTATTTAAGACTTTGATTTCAAATTAGGTTAATTCTGTACATACACAACAGCTACAGATATAACCTCGGATTGTATTATCAATTTACAATCAATTTTTTCTTTTTTTTTTCTTGTTCAATGTACAGGTGTATCATTGATTACGCAATAGATATAATATAGGTGATAAACTATGTAGGATCTTCAAGTTAATTCAACGACCACGATTTTAGCGCTCCGTTACATCTGTTTCATATTTAAACGTAATGAACATAGCATCTCTATAAAAATATATCTTTAATCAAAAATTGAACGCACAATTTTCATTTTAACCGCCTTAACTACTTTACAAGAAGACATAGTATGTTGTTTTCCTTTAGCGAAAATTTCCATCTTAACGACGGTGATAAAAAACAGAATATTGAACAGCACTCGTTACAATGGGATACGTTTTGTATCCATATATGTCGAAACAAATATGTGTACTTGGTTATTGCTAAAGTATACGGATCCAAGACAGAATCCCTTCGTCGCTATACACGAATAAATTTCGATCTATATCATTATGTAGTATGCTATCATGAATTTTTGGTACAACTATAGTGCATTAGCAACACCAATATAACATCGAACTTTCGCAACAACTGACGCTAATGGTAAAATCGCGAAGAAAAAAAAAAGAACTCTAAAAAACACAACACGTCAGTTATTGCGACGAACATGAATGACGATGAATAAAAACGAAGTTTCTACTTTTCTGTAATCTGAAGGGGCGATAAGAGCATATTATTGTACCAAATATATGCGTATATTTTTAGTGGCTCTTAAGAAAATATTATAATTATTTTAATAATCGCCTAACTCGCCCTTGTAATGTTAACATATGAATCGTTAGGGCGACATTCGGCATAAAATAAAAGCTATTCTAAGATACAATTGTGTTTCTCTTATCATAAAATTATTTAAAATTTCTTACGCGAGAGCGCTCGAAACAATTCATAAACACGCTGTACCTACAACTAAGTTTATCGTCCGAAAAGAGCGCGAGCCCAGTTACGTAGTAAGAAGAATGTATTGTAACTCTTGGGGGCTCCTCTTAGACATGCATCATTGTCTATGAACTAGCAGGCATTGGACAGGCTCGGGGCACATAATCAATCGTGTATGCCTTAAATCTTTAGCATTGTTTATGTAAAAACATAGAATTTATTTCTCTTTATCGGTTTACTACGTGTTGATGAGAGTGGTAATTAGCAAAATTTTTAAACTGTACATGATTGATCACAAGTATTAATTTATGAATATTCATTTTTAGCTGTTTGCCTTTTGTTCAATATCGTGTGATTTGTAACGTCCAAAGGGGTAACCCTAGTAAAATTAATAGTAACAATAGAAATGTCATCCTTTTTAACATGTTTTTCTTAAATCCTACGAGCTAATCGCATTGAAATGACAAATCTGCTTTTAAATCATAATTCCTTTAAACATATACTGATAAATGTGAATAAACAAAACTGCGATGTTATAAAGTCTTATTAATGTTTGCAGTTTAACTTTGATCCTACATATTACCATAAAGTAAAAATATTAAAATAATTGCTCAAGTTGTTGCGAATCTTGTTGTCCAAGCCGTATTAAATCCATATTTGGAGAAAATTGCAGACTCCATGTTGTGAAGCGTTACATAAAGCTTATATATAAGCTTCACAAACGCGAAATTTTTATCTCCTCAAAATATCGACTTAAGATGATATGGAGATAAGCTATTCAAGTCTGTTTTATATAAAATTAATATTGCGATGCGATGCTCCAATCTTCATTGATACCTCTCACTTACAAAATGCCTGTGTAACTCAAAAATATCACTCGAATCAATAACGCAGTTACTCTATATATTGATACTACAAACTAATAACAAGATAAACTTCGTTTCTAACTTTATGATGTTTTTGCAAAATGCCATTAATATTATTATGTTATGCGACATGGCAGAAACTGAAACATTCCTGCATTTGATTACAAAATGTAGTCCAGTCGTTCGCGCGTCAATATCAATTCTATATACAAGCTAGAAATACGTAAACAAGATAATAGTTAAACTGCGATAGAAAGTAATTACCTTATTTAGTATTCTAAAGGCCATGTCGTCATATACTTTAGATCGTCTCAAATTCTTATGTTACTGCAAGCGCACGTTACGATTAGTGGAAATCCCTTATTTCCGTTTCATTACACGGTCATCACAAAGTTATGCCCTGACCTAATAACAATAACTATTGTATTAAAAGAAAACCACATTCCCTAAATTGTCGGGACTGTAATGTCTTTTACAACTAGATTAAACATCATGTTATCACATGCTTCTGATGTCGGAACCGATAGGAATTTAATTTCGCTACATAATGTATAATACAAACGTTATAAAAAAACTATTACAGTTTTGCCGCTGACACACTAACTTATGCAATTGTTGCATATTCTCGTCTCTGTAATTACATTTCAACAGTGCAGTGTAAATGATTATTTGTCATTATTTCCAAAATATAAGTCATCTGTACATTGATAGCGGGTCTATTTTTTTTTCTTTTTTAGCATTATTGATTTTATTCAGAGTGATGCGTATGCAATAACAATGTACATATTTGTTTCGTTATGTGATAAACATAAGTGAAAACATACACATCCTATGCATCATGTTATGTGGATAATAAACACGTATTCTATACATGTGTAGAATATACACAAAATTGAGTTTAAAAAAGTACACTTAAGGACACATGAAAGAAAAAAATATTATTTTTAATATATTTACAATTATTTAGTTGAACTTTGTGAGTACAATCAAAATTAAAAAACAGAAATCTATAAATAAATAATAATCAGATAAATTTGATACGTTAATCAATTTTATAAAAAATAAAAAAAAATTTCTGCGCACCATTCTTCTTGAAATAAATTTACATGAAAAATATGACTGCTAAAAGCATTCTTGTTAAATAGAACAGTTTGTAGTGTCATCTTCTCATGTAATTTTGTTCCAGAATAGATATGATGCGCAAATAGTTTTATTCTACACATTCTAGATGAAAATAGAGAAGTATTCACGATTTTGTGCATATTACAAAAGAAATAGAAATGTAATATGTGAGAAAAAGGTAGGATGTATAGTTTAATATATTAGATACCAGTTTTACACAGTAGAATCAAGCTATACTCGTAATTAAAGAAAAAGCCGTTCTAAAAAGGTTAGCATGCAACTTTACTACATCATTCGACGTATTTTTTCTAATATTGAAGTAACTTTTTTATGCTACCAATTACGAGCTTAAATCGATTAAGGTATACAAAATATACAATGAAAGATGATATATATATGTATATATATATATATATATATATATATATATATATATATATATATATGTACGAGTAAGAAACTTCATTGTGCATCAGGATGTTCAAAATATCTTCGTATTCTTTTTTTATCTCTTTTTTTTTTAAGTATCTCTCATCAGATACTTAATCTACTTTGTAAAATCATGGCATCTATTTAAAAATATTATCGTACACAATAAATGTTCCAATAACAGTAGTAATGATAATGTAATATTAAAATATATGTCTATATTTTTTAGTATAATTTAATTATTTCTTATACATTAAAAAAAGACAGACTTAAGAAAAAACTGTCAAGTGTAACTTACGCAGCGTTAGACTATCGTAATGAGTTGGCATCAGTTAACAAGCATCGTAGTGTTGTATACCTCTCTATTTTTAAGTCGGGAATCCGATTCAGATGTTTATTGAGCGTATTTGCAGCAACAGGTTGGCAAGGTGTAACGCAGGGTGACGAATCACCGATCATTTCAGTTATCGTTATTACAAAAGTCGACCATTCAGAAGGCAGGGATTCTTCTGCGGCGCATAATCGTTCTGATTGTTCGAACAGTGCCGCTATTACGGATACACCAAACTAAAAAAAAAAAACGAATTTACAGAACGTAAATTAGATATATATAGTAACAAATAATAACGTACGAAAAATCGCGATTATATCTTACATACTTTCTCTGTAGAAGTGAAACAATTTTCACGAGAAGATTTAGGATTATACATAAGTATGTTTTAACTAACCTTGTTCATAAGAGCAAAAGCCAAGCTATTGTTTCTAACAGGTTGTACCGAATCAGATAGTGCTCTTGCTAATCGGAGTATTGTATCAAAATTTTTCACAGTATTAAGCCATCTTCGATATTCGGAATAAAAGTTTGTTAATAAATGACAATCTCTACGACCTATTATAGCTAGTCCTTTGAATATTGCAGTCCATAATTCTCTTAACTGTTCCTGATATTCCGTTACATCCAGGTGAGGTAAAAAACGCAGTAATAATGTCTGAAACGTATAGATATGCATATTAATATATCGAATATAGCTATTAAGACTCAAGTTTCATTATTTGTCTCGTTTTATTATTTACCTTTCCTTTTCGAATACTTAGCATACTAGCTAATTTGTCATCTTGTACTAATTGTTGCAAAGACGATAACATCATGCCGATTAATTCAGGTTCAGTTTTATTTGCATTTGTCTCAGCTTCCCCTTCTTGCTGTTGTTGCGGCTCCGGGATAACAGCAAGAGGGTTACTCAGATCTTCAAGTTTCAATAGAACTATATACAGCTGAAAAAACAATAATTTCTCGGTGAAAGAAAAAACGCTATCAAGATAATAATTTCGCTAATTGTGTTAGAATATTAGTAATATACCCTCTCGATTTCAAGGAGTAGTTGTCGTGTTTTTTTAGTATCCTTCTGCTGCGATTGTGGAGTAGACTGCGAGTCGCTATTTGGTACAACATCCATATCGATAATTTTACGTGGTGCAGTTACACTACTAAAATGTAGTTTGCCCAATGAATTCTCAAATTGGGCTGGCGTGTACGCTGATCTTGAAAGAGTTTGAGGTGGATTAGTCTCCCAATCTCTACAAGAATAAAACAAAATAAATCAAAGTATTACAAATTCTACGATTTTGGAAGTGAGAAAGATAATTTTTATAAAAATAAATATTCATGTTGTTTCGTGCAAAGTATATTTTGCAATTATATATGCAAAGTATTTACACTTAATATGTAAGTTAATATAATACATAGATATTCAATATTATATGAATTTATATGTAAATTGTAAGAACTTTGCATGTAACTTTGCATACCTATGATCTCTGTGATATCCATTGTTATTATGGTGCCTTCTATCTTTCTGCTCTTGATTTGCGTATTGCTTATTTTGTCTATCACAAAACACGGTATAATAATAATCGTCAACATACGGTTGAATTGTATTCAGTTGTAACAGTTGAATATTAATTAACCACTGCTTCTCACGACTACTCATAAGACCTGCATATTCATCATACTCTCCTGAAGCATTCATACCATTAATGCTCGGAGAGTAATGTTGATTATGATAATGTCTTTGATTATTTCTGTCATGATTGCGATGATGTTGATTATTTTTAAAAAACGGTTGATGTCCGCCCTGTTGCTCATTATGGTGATAAGATATATTCTGGTTTCTCTGGTTACTTGAATGTGAATAAGAATGTTGATATTGTTGATGGTTGGTTTGATTATTAGAAAATGGAGGCATCATGTGATCTGGCCGAAGGAACTGTGGACCTCCTCCTAAGTTGGGATGTGGTGGTTGCTGAAATTCAACAATGTAAAAATATTTCACGTTACAGTAATTTAATGTATAATTTGTGAGAAAAACTTACAGAAAACCCATAGGAGCCATGAAGAGTTTGCCTTTGTACTGTGTGCGGCAACATTAAATGCGGCACAGGATAACGTAATATATTCCCAGATTGATCTAATTACAGGAATAAATAAAATATATAAGAATATTCTTGAAATATTTGTATAACTGTTAATTTTTGAAATTTTATTTATATTACAGCTATTTATAGTGGACTTTTTTTTTTAAATAGTACATACAATATATGACATTTCTTGATGATAAAATAACTGATTTGAAATTAATTTGATATAATGTGATCCGCAAATGAAAATATCTAATTAAGTTACTCGGAATTTATTCGATAAATTCCGCGTAATTTATTGTATTTTGCAAATATATTGTAACAATAAGCAACATGATACTCACTAAGTAGCAATCTAGGAGGTGGCATAAATTGCGGGGGTGGTCTTACATTAGGTAAGACCATAGGATGCGGCCCAGGTATGCCCAATCCCGGTGGAAAGCGTAGTGGTGGTGGTGGTGGAGGTAGGCCATTAATTTGAAGTTTCTCATTCAAAGACAAAGCTTCAAAGAGAAGTGAACCTTCGGGCTTCTTCTGCTGTTGTTGCGTTTGTGGTTTGCTGAGACCTGGTGGTGGTCTATTTGCAATAAGTCCCCTTTCCAATTCTTCCACTGTACAGGCATTTTTCAGATTAGCTGGCAGAGATAAACGGGGGCGAGCTTTAGGAAGAGATATTTCAGAAGGACTACTCCATACACCAGGACGTGGAACTATTCCTTCCTTGTCATCCAATACCAAATGCGATAAATTATCCTGAATGTCTATATTAACACCATTCTGTAAAAGATACAAAGCACATACATAAAAAACATAATATAATATATATTTATTTATAATATATATTTATTTCAGAAGATATATAAAATAAAAAAAAAAAATATATATATATATACACACAAAGAGATAAGATATAAAAGATATATATTTTTTTTTATTTTATGGTTATTTGTTAAATATTTTTATTTATAAATTATCTATGTTATGATATGGAAAAAGTCCAATTGAAATACAGCTTATATATACAATTTGTCATATAATAGTTTTCAAACACTACATAATAGCTCTTAGTGTTTGTTAGACAGTGTATATAGAATATATTTTGAATGATTAGAATATCTTTATATATTTATTATATATCTACAACACATATTTTTGCACAAAAATTGACATTTATATTAATCTGCAGAAGCATGTGATAGCATATCTTTATAGCTAATATTTCAACTATATATACACATGATATTCCTGTAACAATGACATTAACTCAATATACCTTCTTATTTGTCCCACTCTGATTATGTGGACGACTTGATTCCGCAATCTCGGCGAGTTTTTCATGATCTTTCTCCCAATCACCAATTGTAGCATCAGGACCAAATGTTTCATCGTTCAAGGCATCGTACTCTTCTTCTTCACCAAGATCTTCTTCTTCCAATGGACAATCCAATCCCTCCTCTAAACCACTATCCTAATTATAGAAAATATCAATTTGATTTTATCTGATGTAAAAACCATGTGTCCTTGAAAAAACATTACATTGAGGTCACAGCGTACTTCACAATAACGATGCTCCTTACTGTAAGATACAAGGTTCTTGCGAATCGAACTTTAATTAAAATAATATACACAAACGACAATAAACTTATTGACACGCTCTATTTAAACCTGTAATGTTCGATGTTAATGACCTTTAGGGTAAGGAAAAATATAAGTGAGGTTAGACTACATAACTTTGTAACTACTGGGGAAATTATTCTGTGATTTTCGGGGGCATTATTAACGAAGTGCAATTAAAAATAAACGAGTGGGACGAATCGTTTCGCTGTAAAATTACTATACTGGGTAAAATAATCGGCGACGGTTCTTGGGACAAAACTTTTACTTTTCTTAGTACAATGTACAGGTATGCCGCGACGCGACTGTTTATCGGGGAGATTTACGGTCACATAACTCGCTAAAATTTGCGCCAGTCGAACACAAACTCTTCGTAATCACAAGAAGCATTTGTACTTACTCCAAGCGTAGTATCAAAACCGAAAAAAGAGTCTGCCATTTGTAGGAAAGAAATCTGCAAAATAACATGTTCTGATCAAACGTCAAGTACTGCGACGAGCATCAGCTGTCATGGCGGTCACGCGTACACGTGGCATCGTTATATGTTCGCCAGTTCCGGTTCGGGTATTTTTGGACTGAACATATCGTGCCTAGATATTCATATATTATAATCTTAAATAATCAGTCTCAAATAATCAATGAAATATGATATAAGACGCAAGCATCTAAATACGATGCGCTCAACTTAAGGAAACGCTCCTACCGGAAGAGAAAGTCGTTTACGATGTTGCATGTACTACTGCCTCTTTCACAGGGCTATAATGCTAGATTCATACTGCGTCCAATGCTCAGTATCCAATGAGGAAATTTGTACTTTTAGAAATAAAAGTGTTGTTAACTACACAGTCTATAGAAAATGCACAGTCTATGAATTCTCTCGTTGGACGTCGAAATATTGTATATTGGATATTACAATATACGATACGACAGTTTGAATGTAACGCGTTAAGCAACGATACATGGAAAAGAACATTGTAATTAATTATTTCCCGTTACAATGTCGAGAGATAAAAAAGAGAGAGGATACTAAATTAAATTAACTAGGAAAGTTAAATTAACGATAATAATACTTCCAATGTTAAAGATTTATATACATCTTCTTCGATACATTTAGGAGTATATGCAATGTTATATTAAGAAAAGTTATTTTTTGTGAATTTCTCTAAAATAAATTCTCCCATTAGATGTCGACTTTCAACGTGTATCGAAAAGGTGTGTCAATTGTACTTTTATTATGCGATTGTATTAAAAATTTGTCTTTGATTATGATTATTTTGATATTTTCTTACGTTACCGCACAGTTCAAGATAATGATTACTATTTGGGGAACTAGTTTTATAGAGATGAAAAATGTTAACAAGAAACGTGACTCGTAGTTTTCTTCTTTTGTTATTTTATTGTAATTTCTTTTAGTTATCGTTTAACGATAACATTCTCAAATTCGTTGTTGGGAGGGAGGGAAAGCAACACTCGTTAGAGCGGTTCGAGGCGTGCACTCTTTATTGCCATTAAATCTCTTTGCATCATACTACTTTCCGTTGGCTCTGTTTCTCCTCTTCCAAATTATGATCCTTAAAATTATCTAATCGCATGCGAATGCCAACGCGTTAAAATAAACGAAATCCATTGTGTTTTAAACGCTACTCGTCGCGTGACAGTCCTCAAGTGTTGCTAGGCTGCTGGCCCTCAATGACGCCAGGCTCAAGGAACTATGATTTAAAGTATTCATGCCATGAGGATCCTCGCAATGCAGGTACAGTCGTGAGCTGACAGATTTGTGGCAGTCGGGACACAAACGTTTTTTCTTCTTGTCGCGTCTCTTCAAGATGTCGTATGCGCATCTGCAATTGTTACGGGGAAATAGCAGAAGAAATATTCTTTGGATTATAATGTTTCGCTCTTCTACGTCATACACTTGACGAATTCTATTTACAATTTGCGTCTTATTCTCTCGTGTAAAACTACGGCTGATAAGAACCCAGTAAGCAAGGAACATTAAATTGACGTTTAGAAACGTTGACTTCATGTGCATTGTTTGGACATTTTTTAATAATATTGCATCTATATTTTTCACATGTTATTTTGCGATATGATTTTTCTGAATGTTGTTTAAACGTTTTAAAAACATTACAAAAAATATATTTTTCAAATGTTACTTTAACATTTATTTGAGATCAATGCAATATTTTAAAAATATTTCTGACGATTAAAACGTTATGGTAACCCTATTTCAACATTATTGAAACTTCCAAATCGCGGTCAAAGTGTGTTCATAATGATATTCGATACAGTATTAAACACTACATATTTGACAATATTACAGATTCTTGAATATCATTGTGGTAATTCTTGCTTTCTTGGATTTCTTGCTTACTGGAAAGTCACTGCAAAATGTTGTTTACGATAACGTTGCGACGAGAGACATTCTTTGCGCGGATACTATTGCACGATTTATTTCAATTTGTCTACAAAAGAGAGAGAGCAGAATGTAGTTTCGAAGTTTCTCCTACCTAGCGTGTAATATGTGAGAGCATGGTAGTGCTTCCAGAGAATCAGCTTCCAGACCGAAAGGCTCATTACAGCTTCCGCATCGTAACTCCAGATCTTCCTCCATCGCGGTCGCTAGTCTCTCGTGATGACCTTTTTGCTCCTCATCTCCCAAAGACCCGTAAATTCGCGACAGTCTGGATCTAACTGTCCGCACCAAGAGCTGTAAGCAGTCAGAGCCTCATAATCCCCTTCTGAATACACATCTTTCACAGAGAATCGTATATATATTATATGTCCCCAGTTGCGCAATCCGTGTCTTTACAGCGACTCTACAACAATCCACGTTTGTTCTCCGCCTTGTCGTTCAACAACGTCAACCTAAATCCAGTAATCTCTATCTTCTTTAATATCAATCCAACTTTATTTTAGCCTGTTTTAAAATCTCAACTGTGTCGACAACTCCTCTAAGCGTCGCGTTTAATTTACTTTGGATCTTCTTTAATGATTCAGAAAAATTATGAAGAATTTTTTTCCACACAGAAATGATATTGTAGCTTTTCTTTCGTACGAATCTTTTGAATTTTTACCATTTATTCGAATAAGGTAGAAATAGACGCATAGTACATTTTCTAACAGCAGATTTTTCAGTTTCTAAAATAATGAAACGGAAGGATAATAAATTATAGATAGAATGTCGATATGTTTCTTGGTCACAAAATTCGATAACAATGTATGTTTACTATAAATTACTATAAAATTCTCGCCTTTTATTTCTACTTCTATTGTGATTTTATACGACAGAGTCTTTCGTTTCCTTTAACGAACGACGCAGTGTTACCGCCTCAATTTGAAGATTTAACAATGATCTTTACTCGAACTCTGTCGAGGTGTTGATGAACCATACTTAGCACTTGGAGGTAAACTTGTATATATTGCGTTTGCGTTACGTGTGCGCATACACAGCGTCCAAATGGAGAACCGGCTCCATTGATTCGTGGACACAAATAGCGCGAGGACTCCAGATGCACACGGTATGAGTGTAGTAATACATGCATGGAATACTCGTGCGACATATCAGTCGCGTAGTAGTGTGCCGATGGCTCTTTTGGCATTTCATTGGAACTCGCGATAGTCATTACACGCACGGATAAACGTTGACGACGGAGCACGCCGAGCGTTGCTACCGCTTAATCGAGATTAGTTTGTCGCGTTGCTTTTAGTATCTTCAATTTCTCAATCGAAGATCCATCTTGAACAATCTACGATCGACATTAGAGAGAACTGCTGTCTGTAATTTTTGCAATTTATTCTAAATATCGCTCAGATATTATAAAACGAAATATATGACAGTACATCATCTCACACACGCATGCACACTATTTAAAATCAATGAGAACGAGAGGGAGGGATAGAGAGAAAAAAAGGAAATTCGCTTTTTCCTTGGTACATATGATTCGTTCTAAGTACTCAACGTGCGAAAAGTTTTACTGCGATTCCTGAAGGCCGAAGAAAAAGGGAGAAAACCTCCAAGTTTTCACGTCTAACGGAAGGAAATTGATTTCACAGTACGTCGCATTTTTCTGACTCCCTCTCTCTCCCTCTATCTCTCTCTCTCTCTCTCTCTCTCTCTCTCTCTATCTCTCTCTCCTTCCCTCTTGTAGTCTCCCTGTTTCTGTTAAATGGAACGAACGATGGGCAGCGCAATTCGCAATCTATACTGGCAGTTTACCTTGGCGCCGACCGATCCCGCCACCTCCAAGAGTCTGGTATTGAATTCAAGGGGTCTACAGTTGCATATCTTGTGCTGCAGCCTGAGAGCTTCCAGGCATCTCGCTGCGCCGTCCATCGCTTCCATCTGACATAGTCGATCGCCGGTTGCGGCCGCCGAGCCCATCGCGCTCTCGTACTGTCGAAACGCTTTCTGCAATATGCCCATCTTTATCTCACCGGTGTTATCGTCCCGAGATGCGAGTCGACGTACGCGATGCGTCAACTAAAAGCTAATTGTGTGCGCAATCGCCAACTAAAGGACAGATCAAGAGTTCGAGAGGCACCTGATTCGCCCGCGAATGGAAACGCAGTCACATGAACTTAAGAGTCGTAATTATTTAGAAGCACATTACTTCGTACATAGAATTCATTTCTCGAGAATATTTCAAGTTGTCTCATGTGAGATACGTAGAAGTGTAAAAGGAAAAGAGGCAATGGAGCAACTATATAGGGCAATATTTGGAATCGTTTTAACCTGAACCCTCTACAGTATTTTTGCTATTTGCTTTTTAACAGTGTTTGGGGTTTGTAGCGTCAAATAGGGTATGAAAGCGGTATGCATTGCAAGCGTGACGCAGCGTTAAAATTGCTTTTATAACATGCGTGACATGCAAAGGAACGCCCCAGTTATAGCGTGTTTTTTTTTTATTGATAACAGGGCACCGTATATGACAGTGTTCGTGCGTACAATGAGGCTGTGAATGGTCCCAATAGAATCACACAGCACTTGACGCGAACGCCGATAAAAAAAATTTGTCTATAGAAGCGTTTTTTCGATGCGATATGCAAATAAATATATTGACGTTATTTCCCGTCGATACTCCAATTTGTTCGTATCAATATATGTAGGAGAAAAGAGAGGAAATTTTTTTCCCTCTCTTTTCCTTGTTTATGATACATATATATAATTTATATTAAATTAGTATGATTGATGATAAATATATAGAAAAATAGGAGATAACGTTATTTATATCGTAAAAAAATTTAACTGTCGTAGTGAAAGACATGAGTAGGGGTTGTTAAGGGAAAGACATAACAACAACTTATAGCAAACTTACATTTATGTCGGACTTCTTCCTGTAAATGTCTCCCATAATACGGATACTTCGGGCATAACTAGCTTGGTCACCAGAAACTAGTGACAGCCGCGTCGCTTCCTATCAACAATGTATAAGTAAGGGACCCATATAACGTTGAGCATTTGTATCATAACAGTGCTGAGTAATTATTACAATTTATTTCGACAACATCTATATCTACGATAACTTTCATAAGTCGTACAATAGAACACTCGATATTTTAGTGCTTTTCTTTCGTAAGTACTCGAGTATTCGACAAAACACAAATAAATTGTCACGTAATTAAGACGAAACTGGTGTAAAGTGAAAAAATTATATATATATATATATATATATATATATATATATATATATATCCGTGGAGAAGTTTGCGATATCCTCGCGATTCGCTCAAAGTCGTTCGAAAAGGCGAAAGTTTCGCAGTGATTCCGTATCTTTGATCTGAAGCCACATAAGTTTTCCCTCCTGCGCGATTCTCAATCGAAACTTTACCGAACAGTAATCGTGAGCGTCGCCCAGCTCGCCCTTTTTCCGCAGCGCCGCGGCCATCTGTAATAACGCGGCCCTGTGATGACGTGAATTCAGGTCTCCCAGCTGTAAACTTCTGGAAAGATCGTAAGCCCTCGCCGCGTATCGCGCGCTCTTGTCCGCGTCCTGTAATCTACAGTAGAGTTCCGACAGGCCGACGTACACCTGAAAAAGAAACCGCATTATCAGAGTAGGCGATTGTCGCGTCACACGAGCGAACTAGTTAAAAGACTATCGCGAAGAAAATTTCCACACATTTCCTCTATCTGAGTATACTTCACGAGAGAAGAGAAGTAATTATGAACTTTTTCTCGAGTCCCCCTTTCTTTGCCGGAGCGTTACAAGTTTGCAATATATATCTCTTTATTTCGCGAAGGCATGTATGTATGTAAAGATGAAGCGACACGGCTTTCATAAGGACGGCATCTTCCGGCAAATTACATTGGCATTCCGTTATGGAACAGCATGCCTAAGTGAACGATAAAGGAGGGCAAAAAAAATAGATACAAAGTCAAAATTAGATATTTTATAACAAAGACAAATTATTCATTTTACTTATTTTTGCCATGTCGAATTTGATTCTGGCATCCTCTTTGACGTTTTATTGTGCATTCTAAAAAATTATATTAAGTACGCGCTGCGAACAAATGAATTAGAGATGCAATTGATTGAGACTACTCCGTGACAATACGCGAGATGAGGCACGACGGAAAACGGATTCTCGCGAGAGCGCGACGCGACTTTTCTAATCGTCCTGTGCCATCCGTTAATTAGCGAACGTCGCGACATAATGCGCGTCGCTTGACGTGCCCGCACGAAAAAGAAAACAAAGAGGCAAACAAAGAGACCTAATTACCTGCAGTTCTAAGGAGGGATCTTGAATGGAGTGGGCGATTTTGTGGGCTCTCTGAAACGCTTCCAAGGCTTTGCAGAATCCCGCTAACTCTAAGTGGACTCTGCCTACAGTTAAGTGAACTAATCCAGCAGTGGCGCACTGATCACACTCGTTATACAAGCTGCGTGGATGTAAAAATTACAAATGTTAAATCGCGACACACACATATACGGATATTCAATAAAAAAAACGTCATCGACAAGTTTTCATACGTTCGTCTATTGATCGCGACTGACTATTTCCCTCGACTTGTAGTTACCATCATTGATCTCACGATGCGAGCCATACTTTCAGGCGCATTTTCATTTGTACATATAATTTTTCGAACATTTATCGGTATAATATGTCTGTGGAAAAACTTGAAAGATGTTCAAACCTGTGCCGAGCGTAATCTAACGCTCTATCCAGGGCGCCTAATCTCTCGTGTGCTCTGGCTAAGTTCAAGTACGCTTCTGCCCGCATATTCGGCGAGTCCAACTCTTCCGAAATGCATAACTGTTTGTGACCAAACTCGATGCTGTCCCTGAAAGGGAAAGAATCCATGTGATAGAAGCGAAAGAATCGGCAAAGTTCTCGTGAAAGCTGCGAAGAAGTTGAATAGGAAACAGACAGGTTGAACGTAGTTATTTTCGCGAAAAATAATGGCAAACGGAAAAATAATTGGATAATTAACGTTCGATTAAATTATAATTCATTCTTATGTGCTATAACAACGAACGATAGATTATATTCCTTGCGATGCAATATGTTCCATTTTATGTTCCGATCCGCTCGAGTTCAAGTCGAAATCGCACTCTCGATCGTAGATTGAACTTTAGCTCAAGAGAAAAAGGATCGGTTTTTTAATATTCCGTCGATAGTAGTTAGGATAATATAGGTTATACAAGCAAGCTCAAATTATATGGTAATGCACAAGAAATTATCGATTGAGGAAATGTGTAATAGACGATTATATAAGATAAAAGTACACAAAGAATGAGAGAAAAAAAGTATTTAAGAAATAAAGAGAAAAAATTTAGTCATCGAATGAGATAAGGAAAATGAAAGATGATACACGGACTAGTGTAACTTTTACTTTTCCACTGACTGCACTTTATTCAAAACATTTCGCACAGACTCTTTGCACAATCTGTCACTTCTCCAAATGATATGCACGTAGTGTTAAAATTCAGATCGTCATGATAGAACATCGACAACAGATTCACGCTTAGTATAATTATGAATGTATAATTATGAATGCCCAGGATAAAAATCTGTCTCTCAGCATCGGGTCGATACCTAAAATTTAATACTTAGGCCCGACACAAGGCCGATCGTAAAATACTGTTACGGAGATCCGCCTGATCTGTTTCTGTCTCAAATACAAACAGACAGTACAAACAGAAGCGGCAAATCTCGTGCTTTATCTCGTTCCATAAAGTACCTGTATTTGCCCCAATCCATGTACGCCTGATACAGGTATCCCAGAAGAGTGAATTTATCCTCGCGATGTCTGATGCTCTTCAATGCGCCCCTCCATTTTCTAACCGCGGCCTGTTGTTTATGAGCTCGGTACAATTTCAGACCTTGCTCCACCTGAGGCACACGAAATAACAATTCCGGCGCTTCGTGTCCTAATTTACAGTGCGCCGTCGATTTAGTAGATATATAGCGTATATAACGCGAATGCGAACGGTAATGCGCGATGTAATGCAGCTTTTTTTGCGAGGGACAACGAGGGACGTATCGCGGCGAAAAGCGATTTCGAGGAGGCAGTAATGCTGCGGTACAGAAAAAACGGTGAATTTTGTTACACGCCCGTCGCCTTTTCTAAATCACTCGTCTGTGCAAAATCTACGTCGACCGATTTAACGCATCATCTCTGCGCGAGCCCTTGAATTTCCGCCGATTGCATGCGTCCCTGTACTTTTTTACCCGATATCCCGTGTACTTTTTCACGGTCAATTATGGTCAGAATCCACATGGCGGACCTTGAAATCGATCCTCATGAAACTGACATTGAGTTAGTCCCAACCTTCTCGAGCAGAGACGTAACATCCAAGAGCGCATGTGCATGTCAAAGAGGAAGTCGCGCAAACTATTAATACGGGCAATATTAATAGACGATAATTTTTTTTGTTACAAAGCTCATTCTACACGACTTATCGCATAACTTTACAAAATTTGACAAGTGCCAATGTCATTGTAACGTTAAAAACCTTAACTATCGTGATATCGAAAGATAAGATATTGTTATGTATGTATTCTGCAGCATAATATCGAATTTCGAAGTTTTCTCTTTTTAAAATCATAAAATAGTTTTTGTGCTTTCAAAAGTAACGAGAATAAATTAACCGACATAGCAGCGAAATGAAAGTTTTGTATACAATTATACATGCAACGTATATAAAATACGCGTCTTCCGGGCAAATCGAGCATGAAATTCAGAATTTTATGTCGTCAGCCGCGGAGTTTTATATTGGCGGTCGCGCGAGCTCCACATTTAAAATTTAATTTCCTCAGAATTACTACTTGGCGGTTAAATTAATAACGCAAGCACACCGCATCGTGCCAATTATGGGCCGCGCGAAACGGGCTTTAGATGATAGGTGGTTGCGCCAGGAAAAGGAGGTCGAAGTTGCGATACGCGTGGTGCTCTTTATCACGCAGTAATAGCCCTAGCGTAGATAATGCGATGCATACGAGCCGAGTCAGAAGGCCGTATCGATTCGACCCTGAACTTTGCCCCCGGCAGATTAAACTCCACGATAAAATATAAATAGCGTCTTGAGGTACGTAAAAATGTATATGCGTGCGTGCGCGCGACCGAGATAATTTCCGCGCATTAGAACGCGCAGAGAAGATCTGGCAGAGATACGCGCACCATTTCACTCGCTGTAATCTCGGCAACCCTATGAGCCGTCGAGAAACAACATCGACTCGAGGATATAGCGTTCCTGGAGGAGTCGAACGGCGCTCGCATGCGAGTAGTTGCGCAAACGAACACACACACTCTCTCTTTCTTCCTCTCTCCTTTTCCCTCCTCTCTCTTTCTCTTTCTTTCTCACATCATGTCACGGTGAAACCTTGCGTTTGTAACTGTTGGCATAATAACAGGAGAACAGGATTTTTAATGCTACGGCCTTGACATTATTGTGACATTAATTATTTTATGCGCGCAAGGATACACGTGACGCTTTATAATGGAAATTAGCAACTATGCGAGCGTAAGGGTATAAATATTTCGCGGTCACTTATCGGGGATTGGGAGGTGGAGGCTTTTGAGTTGCGTGGATTTTCCTCCGAGACGACGATATCAATCTTCGTGGGCTTTGCTAAATAGCTAACGACCGTACCGCGTCGCGTAACTTCGATGAAAACGTAAATGCAAATTACGCTCGTTACTATGTAAAGCAGACATCATGGATCAACTGTCAGGCGTGAAGCGCGAAATCATAAGTCTCGCGAGGTGAAATGTATTCGGAACGTTAAGCACAACAGTAGTTAAGTACAACAAGTACTTCGGTTTTAGTGGTTACGAAAGGATAGCGTGACCGCGGCTACGGCATGCACATCGTGAACTTGACAGTGACCGATAAAGCGTGTTCGCTCGCGAAATACGCCTCGTTATGTGGCCGTCATGTCCTTTTGTTGCTTGAGAGGCCCTTCAGTTACTGTTACTCGTTTGACATATTACACCTCGGGCTCTTTTGATGCGTTAAACCGGTCCGATGGCGCAGCGTCGGTTTGAAACAGCGAAACATTTCGGGAATTGCGCATATTGAGGTAACATTTTGAAACGCGTTTCTTAAAATACGCGCAAGAAATTTATTAATAAAGCGACCCTCGAATCGCGACGAAATATACAGCAAATTCTGAATATTTGTAAATCGCGACGTATAATTGTCAAGCCTTTCAAATGATATTTCTCCAAATTCTCCCCGCACACATACACAATACACGCGTAACTAAAAGAGCGAAACTAAATTAAACGAATGCAATGTTATATCCCCCCAACACAAGCGCATAGTATTTACATTTATGTAATACTTCGTTTAATCATTTATACATGCCAAATCGAAGGGAATCGATATAATTTTGGTGAGAAATAGACATTTTACACTCGTCATATTTTCTCTACTATTTCTACATCGAGTAAATGTTACTTGTTTCAAATATTTTATAAGTTTATACACAGGGCGTCTGACAATTAATGACACACAATTAATCACAACTCATCTGCCGTCACGCGCACGATTTCGTCCATTAATCTATTTTAATTAATAACTCAAAATTTTACGTGGTTGTTTGCGAAATAGTAGAGGAATTTTGTGTTTACTCTGTTGAGTTTCACTTGCACACAACGCGTGTGTCATTGTCAGACAACCTGCATATATCTGCAAATCCATCATAAAATGTTCGTCACAAGTACCAAATTTACTGAAAATTTTGAATCATTATGAATCTTAATAAGTTTAGTACTTCAATCAAAAATATTCAATTAAAACCAAAATTCGGTTTGCTTACTATATAGAGTTAAACCAATTGTTGTTGAATAGAGTTTTATAATATTTTTGTAAAAAGAATAAATTCTTTTGAGTATATGATAATGAGCTTTTCTGAGATGGTAAGAGAATACATTTGAAGACTATTGTTAAGAAAAAATTCTTTATTGAAGATAGCCATTGTGTAAAAGAAGGAAAATGAACTGAGTGATCATTTTTCTTAGCAATAAAATTATATTTTTCCGTGTGTGTATATACCTTTACACTTCCATTTTGTCACTTTTGCAATTTGCACTTGAGATTCTATTTAACGAACTTCAACGTCGCACAATGTCTCGCAGCGAGCTTCTTGTAAGCAGAAGCTCATCTCTACTAAATCCAACTATCCGTTTCAACTTCCCCAAGAGAATTAAAGAAAGGAAGAAAGAGAGAGAGAGAGGGGAGGGAGAGAGAGGAGAGGGAGAGAGAGAAAGAGAGAGAGGGGGGAGGGAGAGAGAGGGAGAGAGAAAGTGACAGAGAGAATAATAATGAAGTACTTACCCTCCTTCGGGCTAATTGTTGATCGAGCCGTTTCCTGCAGCCTATGAGACACTCCCATATACCAGCGCCCGACCTACCATTTTGGTAATGGCCGTTACTACCGTTGCCGTTCTGATTTCGGTAATCCTCCTCGGAGAAGTCACAAACATCGAGCGGATGCCTCGATCCATCAGGGCTACCCAGCAGCTCGGTCGCCGAGAGCTGATGACTCGCCGATCTGTGGTGCATTTTTCAAACGATGCTCGGAATTAGTTGCGTTCGCGAGTCGATTTTCGGACGTCATGTCTCTCTACCGCTAGCACTTTGTCCTTCGCGTCTTAACAACGCACTACTTGATAGCATGTAGTTAAGACCACCCACGAACTGGAGCAGTAACTCCCTCCCTGTACGCCCTCCTACCTCATAAATCATTCGGAGTTTGACTAAAGAAAATAACGGTAATTAGGGGAGCCTCGTGGCGAGGGAAATTAATTTCGACGCTGCGCCGTTTCTCGAATGCGCGAGTCCGATATTTACCACGGAATCCGTAAGAGATGACATAATCACTTGTTTTGTGATGGAATCATTAAGGACCAACGGTCAATAGCTATTTAGTATCTCTTTTCATCTATCATTGGCTGCTAAAGGGTGCTCGATGGTACTGAAGGTCGATTCGAGCAATCGTGGAATTCCATGCCCTCCATGAAATCCGATGAGAGGAATTTAAAGAAGACGTAGCCGAGTGCCGTACGGTATTTTCACAACATCGATCGCTTAAGTTCCGTAGGAATCCTGAAATTGTTCTCGCACCCGGCTGATTTATACTCCCGATATGACAAAGTGGGACGTTACCGTCTTCTCGCGAAAACCTAATGCACAGTTGTGTGCCCGATGTAAACTAGCACAGATATGACATTATCGTGTAACACAAGCGAAAGTTGAAAGGATATTTGACAAGTAGTGCCATTCTGCTGGCATTTTCTTTTCTTTCTCCCGAGGTATCAAACGTTCTGCGATCCTCCTACCGCAGAATGTCCGCGCGAGCGATTGCATCATCATTCCGGATGCAAAATATCTTCGTCCTCGATATTTTGCGGACCCATGTCAAATACCGGTGTTAGATGATGGATGTGGGCGACTGACCTCCTGCGGGTTCGATGTGCGCAGACTCTTAATTTATTTCTAGGACGAGCGGAAGGAGCACGCGGAGATAAACCGCTTTTGGCCGCCGTCCCAGAGGTTGAGTTTGCAAACTGCGCGTTAGGGAAGTTACAAGGTATACAGGGTGTCCCATCCTTATCAAGTTATATTTCATGTACGAATTTTTGGGTCGAGTTCGACTCGATTTCGCTTTACTGAAGATATCGCAAAATTTTTCCAAAAGACGCGCTTATAAACTCCGTAATTAATTATCTCGGTATTCAAGTCTTGAATCAAAGCATCGTTGAGGTAAAGTTTACACAAAATTAAGTGAGAACGAAATTTTATTGTCTGCTGGCGCCTTTAGAGCTTCCTTTCTGGAATATACATTTCCTCGATTGCAGTTTGGAAACTGCTACACTTTAAATATTTTCACGAAGGAAAAATCGACCTCGTAAGAATGAATACGATTGAACGAAATCTAGACGGTAAAGTGATGAGATACATCTGGAGCACCCCATAGCATTAGGAGTTCTTACCTAGCTAGCTACCTACCTACCTACCTTACCTTACCTTACCTTGCCCTACCCTACTGCAATACGACCCACACTGTATATCACCATCCCGAGAAAACTGAAATTTATTTATATTTTGCTTTTCAATCCCCCTGTCCCTCCTCCCCACATACAATTTGTACCGAGACGCGACAAAATATTCCGTTATGTCTGCTTGTCATCAGCTACATCGGTTCCTTGTACACTACATGAAACATGCGCAGTATATATATATATATATATATATATATATATATATATATATATATATATATATATATATATAT